TGAATGACAATCGGAAACTGCGGTTGATATTCAAAAATGAACGGAATGTTTAGAGCGTTTTTTTTTCATTTTTTTTTGTTTGCATGGGTGTTTAAAGTTTCATATGTTTCATAATACTCACTCCACTTAACTATGATCTTGAAAAGAAAAAGACTGAACGAATAAAAAGTTATCTATGTGCACAGGCAAAGATAAAATATGTTACATATGTCATATTTCGTAACACGAGGCGCTCGCTGTGAGACATTTCGTCCGACGGATTTATAATACGCTATGTGCGGCACATTGTCAAACGTGATCCGAAACTATTTTTCTGTACGTGAATTTTTTTTGTAAATCTCGTTCTTCTAGTGACCGCTCGCCATGTTGTTAAATGATAAATAGCTGAGAAAAAGAGGACATATGAAAATGTGTAGGTAAAGTAAATTTAAGTTTAAGTATCTCAGTCATATAAAGCTACACGTGTGGAGCAAAACGGTGAATGAACACGTAGCATATAGACTATAAGGCACTTATAATGCGACACATTTGCCAACGCAACATATATACGACATATTTTACTTTAGTGTCCACATTCAATACACACATATTCATTGTTCATCTTTCATAATTGTACACAAAAGTAATTAATCACTTCTACAAGAAGGGCTTCAACGAAAATAATCCGTCATTAAATACTCTTTCGAGTTATCGTAAGGAATCAAATCGCTATTGAAAAGATACAATATATGTATCCAGGACAAGTAATCCAGTCGGATATTGGATCCGACGATTTCCGACAGCTGGATCCGACAGTTGGAAGATATCGGAAAGCGCAGGATCCGACGGGATCTTATTGAAATTCTATAGCTAAACCTGATAGTAATAGAGGTGGAACAAATCCTGTTTATCTGCATAAAGATTGTAAATTTTCGGTATGACACTCTCACTTATCACTATCAGATAGAGCAAATAAAACTGGTTATAATTGACACGAAGATTTGGTTAGATTTGTCGAAGTATCATACCGAAAATTTACAATCTTTATGTAGATAAACAGGATTTATTGCTCCACTACCCAAAATGAAAAAAGAACTACCATGGCGTAAATTTTTGCCAAAAAAACGCGTTCTGAAAACGCGTTTTTTCATAGCTGCAAAACGCGTTAATGCTGGCCGGTTTAACGCATTTCACATTTGCTAAAGTAAACGTTGCGAAACGATTTTTTCTTAAAATCATTTCGCAGTGTTTCTGAATCTGTGGTATTGCATACTTTGAAGGATAGAAAAAAACAAAACCCGTCAAGTACTTCGTAGAACTCAACTTGCAGGTGCGATCTATATACAGGTTTACATTAATTCATAGAATTATAGAGTTAACTTACATTAGTTTTGATAAAGTTAAGAGGTGGATTCGAACAGGAGAACATAAGAGTAGAATATATGTATACAAACCGTTCAACTAAAATAGTCAAATGATATAAGTGTTTGCTCTATTCTTATTTAGATGTCTTGTACAAATTTATGATTCGAATAAATTTTGTTTCACGTCTGGATGAATCGATGAAAAACGGTATTCTTTTTGCTGCTTTTATCCAAGGAAGAGTGTCATTTTCCGTCAATTTATTTTAAATTTAACTTTTAGAAATTAAAATTTGTAAAACTTTATTTTTTAAAGTTTAAATACCGAATTAAAATGAATTTAATTCCATATAAATTGAATTAAAAATTTTAAAAAGATTAAATTTCGTACATTTAAATTCAAAAGAACTGTAATCTTAATTTTACAAAATTTGCAAAGTTTTTGTTGAATTGAATGTTTCTTTGTTAATGTAAATCCAAGTGCAATCATAACTACAAAAATATTTTTTCTGTAATTCGAACCTCTTTTATCAACAAGCCGCACTTACATACATCGATAGTGTACGAACGAAAGTGATATTCTAGTCATGTTTCGGAGAGTATATAATCAGTTACTATAACGCAGTCCATACATAAATTAACAATAATTATTATTATAAATTGTAAATTATCCGAAAATACTTTTTTCACACAACAACATTGAGCTGTCCTACGGATTATTTTTGTATCAGTCTTTACTGAATTTCTTCAAATTCTTCAACATTTTACAGAATTCTAGATTCAATGCTACGAAACGCGTTTTCTTTGAATGAAAATGTAGTGAAATAAGTTTTCTAACAGAAGATAACTGTAGAATACACTCTGATGTTCAATACTAGCCTAACTTCGAAACAGTCTTAGAAAACGACGTAATTCTTTGAAGTTTTAGAAGAACTTAATTCTGACCTTTGCTAAGGAAGACCTGCGCCGCCATCTTGAGGATCAAAAACAATGTAATCAGCAAATTTTTTGTAAAACCATTTCGCATAATTTCCAAAATCATATCAGAGTTGACTTTTCTTAACTCACATGCTTTTTGAAGATGAATTGGTGCGAGATGCTCTAACAAAAGAGATCAGTTTTGCATCATTCGAAGCGTAACCGATGCAAATGAATTTTAAAAGAACCTGTTTCGCATTTTCTCCGAGTTGTGACTCTGTACAATACTTTTCTTGTCGACTTAATGAGTTTAACAGCGTTTCATTTGGGAAACGCTTCGAAACGTAATCGCAAAAAGAAGCGTTTCGTATCGTTTCAAAAACTCAAGGCAGCAAAACGCGTTCTATATAAGTAAAAATACTGTGAAACGCATTCCGTCTCGAAGAAACGCTGCGAAACGCATGCCCCAATCTTGGAAACGCGTTACGCAGTGCGTTTCCTTAGATATTTTACGCCATGGGTATTTAATTGAATAAGATACTTCCTATTCAATTTCGATATTGAAACTGACCTAAAACAAAGAAAAAAAATTATTTAATTAAATAAGATAATTACTATTCCATTTTCATGTTCAAATTGACCCAAGATGAAGAAAAAAATTTATTTAATTAAATAAGATACTTACTGTTCAATTTCGATATTGAAAATGATTCAAAATAAAGAAAAAAAAAACTTAATTGTTTAAGATAAATTTGCTCCGTATAGCTCCGAGTAACAAAAACAATAATGAACAACTTTAAAAGGACTTACTTAAAAAAGTCGATTTAATAATACTAAAATACACGTATGATTTTTCATTGAATATGATACTTCCATCTAATTTTTCTAGTCCTCAAAGTAATGCTAATAAAGTTACATTATTCGTAACGTATTTTAATCTACTTTGACAAGACGGATTTTTGTCGTCGTGTCAAATTTAGATTGATTTCTTTATCTTGATTAAAACGGCTTTGCTTTGCCATAAACAATATTCAAAATGTATTTCAGATACATTCTGCAAATTAGAATAGACAAAAATAGATATTTTCATATCATCGGATCATACCGTCGGAATCCTAGAGAATCCGACTGTTGGAAAACGTCGGAAATAAAGAGATATAACTGGAATTCCGACAGTCGGCATCCGACCAGATCCGGTTGTCGGATGGCGTCGGATTATTTAGGGATCCGTCAGGATCCTGCTGGGTTGTTTCGTCCTGGGTAAGGATGATCACTATTTTTTCGTATAACAATATGTTGAAAATAAAACCCAATGAAAGTATGAGACAAGGAATAAATATGTATCAATCAGCGTGACTCTCAATACGCCAAGATTTACAGAATATAATGATCTTCGAAAAGACCAGCGCCTTACTTGACTTTAACTCTTCGTATTTCTTCGAATAATTCCAAAAAATTCTCAACAAAACAAATTGGATGAGTCAAGCTAACATTGATACAGATTTCAATCTTATTTATAAATTATTATTTCTTTAATAGTGTATAATAGTATTATTCTTATGATGTAATATCGTATAGAAATAGTTGCATTCTAAAAATTTTTCTGTCTTTGCCGACAAAAATTCTTGGTCATAACAGTTATTCGCACCCTCACTCCTCACATCCTCTACGAAACAGAATAATTTTTCATTGGTAAATGCAATAGTTTCAATCGACTAAAAACCTTCATCGATTTTAAGCAAGGATCGAATCATGATCAGTGCATCTATCTATAAGAATATAAGTCGTAAAAATGGTAATAAGTATAGTCGTATAACTCTGAATGAGTGTTACTGACATCTGTCTCTTCACTCCTGTCATCTCAAAAAGAAGTCTGGTTTGTTAGTTTTTCTTCCTCTTACAACGTATGTTGAAAAAAATATTATCGAAAAATAGTGCATATTGTAATTGTATAACTGTCAAATAAAAACGAAACACAACATCTACAGAGTTTTTAAAAAAAAGCCGTCGCCACTTTTTTACACTATCATTTCATGCTTCTAAGGCTTCGTCAACGTTTTAAACCGCTATCGAGAAAAAACACACACTTACTCTACCAGTACTTATTCATTACCGTGCTTTATCTAGTCCATTCACCATAAAAAAATAGCACAATAATAAACGCTGGAAAAGGATTTATGAATCTAAAATACTTTACATCAAACTTCCATAAACTCTTGCTGGAGTATATAATAAGTGAATAAACTCCTACGATAATTAGCATATACTCTAAAAGAATTTATGGAAGTTTGATGTAAATCCCTCATCTCCACATTATAAGATCTCTCTAGCCAGGACGTTCAAAAGGTATATTACAAAATTCCCTTTCATTGATTAATTAATTCCAAAAATTAAGACATCAATGGTTACTATCTTCCATCAACATACGCCTAGATTCCCAAAGTTTTGCACTAAAAAATCTTACAAGATTAGAATCAACATTATATTGTGAGTTTTCAAAACTTAGAAATCTCTTCTTACAACCTCAAAATCAAAAACGTTTTTTTTAGAAAACTTGAGTGGGACATAATAGAAGTTCCCTGTAGAAAAATCTTACGTTCGGACATAATAGAAGACCGACAGTCTTCTATTGCGGTAGAGATTAAAGTATTTGAGATTGATAAACCTTTTGTAAGATTTATTATTCTGCTTTTTTTTAAAAAGTGTCTAGCTTCTCATTTCTGTTTAAATTGGAACCGTATTTTTTAAATTCCAATTGAAATGAAGTTTTCTTTTGTACGAGAAGATAGCACTTTAGGTGATGAATATAGATCTTAAACATACCTTCACTTCAACATCGAAGCTCCTTAGTCGAGTTTACTATAAATTCGTCGAACCAATATTTTTATAGCCAACTATATTACATAGTTGGATTTTGTTTGTAGATAATATTAGTTCTACTATGGCTTCATTTCGGCAACGCAGTCTCGGAAGTCGTATACACGTACGACAAAAACAAAACGAGACGTCCGAACATGACCAGTCCAAGTCCTATCAATTTCATCTCAACGTTCATGAAGCGAATGAAATAGATAATCAAATTACAACCGATGTTGGAGTAATATCAATAAATGATGATCTACAACAGCAACAGAATTTAACTCCAGATCAATTAGAACAGTTATTTCATCGAACTAGTTTTGATTTGATTGAAGAATCAGCAGATAAGCAAGAGTTTTTTAAACGTGAAGCAACAATCAAAGCACCAAGAACAAGTAAAATAATCGAAACACCATTTCCACCTGTTGTATCAGATCGTCAAGGAGTAGATTTCGACATTGATATTGAACAGTTGAAACAATTAGCTAAACAAGAAGCAGGTCCATTAATCATTGAAAGATATTCTCCTAGTGAAAATCAAATTAATTATCCATTATCAACTATTACATTAACATATAATCAACCAATGATTGCTGTTTCATCATTGAATGAACAAATGAAAGCGGAAGATTTAGGTATATCATTGACACCGGAAATAGAAGGACGCTGGCGATGGACAGGAACAAAAATAATTCAATTTGAAGCAAAACATCGTTTACCATATGCAACAAAGTATATACTGAGAGTCAACAAAGAAAATTGTATATCAGCAATCGGAGGTAAATTTATTTGAAATTATAGGAGTGAGTGTGGGTGTAGATTAGAGATGAGTATTACAGTCTCACATACGCTTATATTCATTCACTTTCAAGTTTATATTTGGCACTTATGTTTCATATTTTCATTGCTTTTTAGGAAAGTTAGATGACGATTTTGTCTTTGAATTTTTCACAACACCAACAAAAATTCTCGAATTTTTACCATATGGAACAATTTCAACTTTAAAACCTAAATGCTTTCTGCTATTTGATCAGAAAATTGATATGAATGCAATTCTAAAGCATTTAATTGTGGTGAGCAATAATGGACACAGAATACAAAGTGATGGATTAGAATTATTAGATGAAACATCAGCAGACAATGAATTTAAATCTTTTATTAATAATTTTAGAGGAAATCGTGATAAATATGTTGCATTTACATTTAAAAATGATCTATTAAAAGCAACACAATATACAATTCAAGTACCTAAAGGATGTCCATCAGCTGAAGGACCATTAACGACAACAACAGAATGGTCAGCAAGCTTTCAAACTTATGAACCTTTGAAAATAATTGGTTGGTCTCCCAATAAAAAGAAAGAATGGCGTTCATCTGTTCCTCCTGGTCAAAGTTGGTCGATAACATTCAATAATTCATTAGATCGTTCAACTATTAATAAATCATTATTTAGATTTGAACCAGAAGTCAATGGTTTAGGTAAGGGTAGAAACAACTTATGTCATGACACATTTTTTTAATGTTCTTCTATTAATGATGAAAGTGTACTTGTAAGAAACAGAAGACAAAATTTTCTGATTAAATTTTATAAAATTATGAGAAAAGATCTTTAACTGTATGTGCCAACGTCGAATAATATCACCATTCTGAGAATGCGGTGTGAGTGATAACAGATAACTTTATTTTCATTTCTCGTCCATACTTTCAAATAATGACTTCGTTTCGAGCGATACATCAAAGAGAGTAACTGTAATTAGTTTATTTTTCACGTTTTAATGTCATTAAAATTGCGCTAATAGATTTATAAGATTTAATATGCACAAATTTTGAAGTATTTTCCTTCTAAATCAAGACCCATATTGATAATTACAGGAAAGAAACAGTATTACAAAAAAAATGATCTTTTAGGTGTTAAACACACGAAATACAAAGATCAACATATAATATTGTATAATAATTCTAAACCAAATACTGTTTACACACTTTTGATACAATCAGAAACATTGAAAGATATTCATGGTCAAACATTAGAACATAATTATTCCGACGAACCAATTCAATTTCACGTCCATCATTCACCACCTTCAGTTGAATATCTACATGGTGAAACAGGTATAGTACAAAGAAAAAACTAGAATTTTTGGAAACAAAAAAGAAATGTTTTACAATATCGACGTTGTTTATTATAACATGAAAACTCTTCTCATATGGTATGAAATATTATTTATAAATAAGAAAGAAAGTTTGTTTTAGGTATGATTATAATGGATCCTGGTGTATTGGATGATCCGTTTTATTCATTTATGGTTCTTAATTATTCAGAATTAAAATTACGTATTAATCGTGTCAAACCAGAACATTATGATCGAAATTTACCATGTTTCATGCCATATAAATACATGAATCAAGAACCACACCAACACATTGATTTACCTGGAATAGAGTTGCTAAATGAAACTTTTCAAACAAATTGTGAATGTGACGAACCAAAAGAGATAAGAGTTCCTTTGAAAGCATATTTAACAAAAAACTCTGGAGTAGGTCAATTAATTGTATTAATTGAACCAACAGAAAAAGCACAGGATCAATATCAAAACAGAAATTGGCGCAGTAGACAAATTATATCGGTCTGGCTACAATGTACACGATTAGCAGTAGATTTATTTGTTTCTTTAGGTAATTATACTCCTAGTAGGAAAATAAACAATTCGCTTAGGATTGATACTTCAATTTATACCAATCAAATAAAACTGTCGTCGGCAATAGGAGTTAATCATCAATCACTAACTCACAAAGTTTGTTTAAATGAGTAAAAGAACTATTGAAATATTTTTACTTAAAGGAATTGAATTATCTGAACAAAATATTGTAAACGGACAAATCTCATCGTCCGAAAGTAGAGCGTGTCGAGTCCAAGATTGTTGAAGCTGGATTCGATAAAATGAAAAAATTGACATCAGATCCAGGCGTGTTAGATAGAGTTCGGCTCTGAACGGAAGTACTATTCAAAGGAAGCAATACAAAACTTATGGGACAGTTCAGTTTCCATGAGCGAGAGTGGCGTTGAGTAAAACACTTATTTTTTTCTTTTGACGAAGACAGATGGAAACCATCGATTTTCTTCGTTCGAAAGGGGGAACCGACGACTCTTCCGACTGATGAAGACCATAGATTTCTGTCTATGTTCATTAAAAACTTACAAACATTTTACTCCAGACTTCTCTTCTAAAATTCCGATAATAGACAGAATTTAGTTCTGAAAGGACGTTTTTCTGTATTTATTTCGATTATCTTCTTTCATAGTTTCATTCTGTTGATTTGATCATATTTCACTTCGTGGAAATATTTCTATTCGGTTAAGAGAAAGAAAATTTGAAAATGGACAAAACATCTCTATAGTCGGAGGTATAGTCAAGAAAATAATAATGTCTATAATATGTATTGAATATTCAAATGGGTTCTTTAGCTATCATCTGTCGAAACAGAATTATATTAACTACAAATACATTGTTTTATTATAGGTACAGACATGAGATTAACTGCATGGATTACTGAATTAATGGCTGGTGTACCTGTCAATCAAGCAATTGTTTCAATATCAAATAAGAAACAAGAAACAAATCAACATGGATTATGTACCATTGAAAAATGCAAAATAGAAAATGAAATATTGGTCGTTGAAAAAGATGATGATCAATGTATGCTAACAAATATTTATTCCCACACATCATATCCTAATGTTTATATCTGGCACGTATTTAATGATCGAGGTTTATATAAACCAAAAGAAGATGTACATATCAAAGGATATGTTCGATTATTGGAAGCAAAAGGCGATGCAAAACTACCTACTTATGTTCAAGGTATTATTAATTATACAGTTTATGATCCTCGTGGTCAACAACTTCAACAATCAAAAGTCGAATTGAATACTTATGGTGCATTTGATTTAAAATTTACATTACCTGATAATATTAACTTAGGTAAGATTGTATGCTTACTGCTTGTCTATCTTTAGCCTTTATGTGTTTCCCATATCCTACATCTTTTCACTTGATATATATATTATCAATGTGACTAAGAGCGTATTTTGTACGATTAATAGGTAGTTAATCAGTATCTGTTCAGTTATAAGTTATTTACACTATAATTACTAATAGAACTCATCGAATATCCACACAAAAAGATTTAAGAGGCTGAGTTTATATTATTATCACTATGATTATTATTGTTATTAGGTGATGCATGGGTATCATTCTGTTTATCAGATTCACAAATCGAAACAACACATTATTTCAAAGTTCAAGAGTTTCGTAGACCAGAGTATGAAGTTTCATCAATGACTCGACCATCAGCAGCACATTATTGTCATTCAACTAATGATGAATATGTCATAGCTACTTGTCAAGGAAAATTATTTGCTGGTGGTTATTTAAATGATGCTAATGTTCAATGGATAGTACAAGCTGAAACAACAACATTTACACCACCGAAAAGATTTGATTATACATTTGGTAGAGCTCGACCATTCTTTTGCTGGTTTGGCAATGATAATGATAATAAAATAATATATCCGAAAGAGCGTTTTCAAGTAATATGAATTTTATTTAAAAATAAAAGCTAAGTCCTAAATTCGATATAGATAGTGACACTTACGTAATAGTTCCGCTCCTTCTCTCAAGTAGTCTAAGATCAACAATGAGAGAACATGTTCTCATTGAAGAAACAATTTGTAAATACATATCGATTTCTGTGATAAAAAAATAGAATACTCGTTCTTTCTGAGATTTTTCCATCACAGATATACTATTGATACAACAAAAGTATATTTATGAATCTTCAAAAATTCTAATAAACATGAAAAATTCACGTAAATTTTGACTAGAAAAACTGTTTGTTTCGTCAGTTGTTTTTGTATAAAAAATTCAAGGCTTTAACAAACATGTTTTAACCAAAAACGCAATTCTGAAATTACTAAAATAGCACCAAGGATCGGAAAGTAAAAAATGTTAAGAAAGTCTTCTGACTTAAACAGTTCATGACTATCTGTATTGGTTTGAGTATAGTTTGAATCTTATGCAGTAAGACGAAAGTATGTAAAAGTAACCTTCAATGTTTCCATTAGATATGGTTTCATATGCTTTTGACTTTTGTTTGATTCATCATAAATAAACATCAATTTAATAAATATTTTGTCAATGATTTCATTTCTTTATTTTCAGGGTAAAACAGATAATAAAGGTATATATGAAATAAAAATTACTTATCATGGTATTGAAAAAGAGCCAAGACCAATAATGGTTCGTGCGTTAGCAGCCATCACTGATTTAAATAATCAAACACAGGAAACACAAACACAATTTCTTATTCATCCATGCACATATTATGTTGGATTTCAATTAGTAAACAATTATGGAAAGAAAAATCAACCTGTACAAACAAAAGTCATTGTAACAGATATTGATGGAAATTTAATTGATAATGTTTTAATTGAATGTAAAATAATTGGTATTGGTAAAGAAAGAAAAGAAGATGAAAATGGTTTAATTTTATTTGAAGAAATAAAAGATGAACAACAAATAACCAATATTAGTTCAAATAAAGATGCAATCAATATGGATTTTACACCAACAATAGGTAAAAGATTGAATTTCTAATAAATAATTTTATTATCAGTGATAAATTAATTAACCTTTCTAAATGCGAAGGATAAACGACGGATATATAAATTTTTCTAAGCGTTTTCATAAGTGTATAAGTAGAAACTAAGCAATGTAAATAGTCAATTGTCTCAGTCATTTAACACACTGTACCAATAGCATACATTTTAGCCTATTAAAATAAACTATTTTTCATGCGATTTTCAATTTGAGAAATGTTTAATATGTTTCTTTTTACAATACTTTCTAAATTTTATTTAATATTAGGAGGTAGATACAATATATCATATACTGTCAAAGATGAACAAGGACGATTAGCTATGAGTTTCTATGATAATCTTTATGTTGCTGGTGGTAGTGAAAAAGAAATAGAAAAACAGAAAGTAGATTTTGTTCCAACTGATACAATTACAATTATACCAAATGCAACAAATTATCAACCAGATGACATATGTGAATTACTTATCCTAGCACCGTTTAGTCCAGCTAATGGTCTAGTTATACTCGACTGTGATGGTCAAGTATCACAACCAATACAATTTCAGGTAGAATCTGGAAAAGATTCAACAACTGTTAACTTTAAAATATCAAAAGATTGGATACCAAAATTCACCGTTCATGTTGAATTAACAGGCTCAATTCCAAGAGAACAGGAATTAATTTATTCACCACATCGTCCAGCAATTGCTGTTGGTTCAATAACAATAGAAGTATCAAGAGATATTTATAAACTAAATGTTTTAATTAATACAAAAGAAACAACGACAACCTTTACGCCATCATCAATTATCCATATCGATGTCGACATTAAACAATATGTCAATGATACACCTGTGGACAACGTAGAAGTTTGTCTAATTATTGTTGATGAAGCAATTTTATCGTTAACTGATCATAAATTAAATAGTCCATTAGATATATTCTATCCAGATCGAACAGTAAGAATTAGACAATATCATGTTAGAAATCGTTGTTTAATATTCAATATGCAAAATATAGAAGAATTTAGAAAATCTTTGCGAGAAACACATTCTATGTTAGGAGCATGCTCCAAGCGTCGCTGTGGGGCCGCATTAGGTGATTTCGCTGGTTCTGGTGCTGAGCAAAAAATAGCTGTTCGATCGAACTTCAATCCATTAGCATGTTGGATGCCATCATCAATTACTAATTCATTAGGACACGTTTCATTTGAAGTTAAACTACCTGATAATCTTACACGCTATCGTGTATGGGCGGTAGCAACTAATGATAAACAGTATGGTCTCAGTGAAATGTCATTTACAGTACAATTACCGATTATGATTCGACCTTCACCACCAAGTTTTCTTAATTATGGAGATATAGCTCATTTTTCAGTTATTTTACAAAACCAAACTGATCTATCACTACCGTTATATGCTGGTTTAAGAGCAACTAATGCTAAATTATTAACATCACAAACAACTCAACAAGCAGTTGGCTATTCAATTGTATTACAACCAAGTAAACGAGTTGCTCTCATATTTCCAATATCAACTCATCATTCTGGTACGGCTCGATTTCAGTTTGTAGTAAGTACTGTCGCAAATGAATCGAGTGCATCATTTGGTGATGCAATCGAACTCAGTTTACCTGTATTCACACCAGCAACATCTGAAGCATTTGCTACTTATGGTGATATATGTGAAGAAGAAGTTATTTTACAACCAATAAAGACACCAGAAAATGTTATTCCACAATTTGGTGAATTATCAATAACAACAAGTTCAACAGCATTAGCATCATTAACAGATGCAATTATTTCACTCTATACATATCCATATGAATGTACAGAACAATTAAGTTCAAGAATATTAGGTATACAATCATTATGGGATGTTTTACAAGCATTTCATTGTAAAGATTTACCTGATGTATCAGTGTTGAAAACAAAATTAGAATCAGATATGAAGATATTAAAAGGTCGTCAATACTCAAATGGTGGATTTGGTTATTGGACAAATCGAACAGATTCATATGCTGATCCATATATGAGTGTGCATGTTGCACATTGTTTAGCTGTTGTTACGAATAAAAAGGTAAGAGTTTCATTGTATAAATGGCTCCAAGAGGTGAATAGATCTAATTTATTCTAAAACAGTGAGATATAAATATAACTTGTATAATCAGAATTATACTGCAAGTTTACGCAGTTTCTGTAATATGAAAATACAGTGATAATCAATAATCCTTACGCTGAATTTATATGAACATTCCTAGAAATTTCAACTTGATTTAACAATCTGAATATTTTCTACAAACTACAATATGAGCGTAAATGAGGACGGATGAGAGTTTTCTATGAAATTGAAGTTCTGCGTTTGTGAAAATGAAACATCTTCTAGTGTTTGAAAATTTCACGGATGGATTCTTAAAAAAGAGTTCAAAAAAAATTTTACATTGTACTCTTTACTTAAATTATATTATATTAAATAACTATTAAGCATTTCTCTAATAAAAGATGTTTCACATTATTTTAAAGGTATCCGATGTTGATATAAATATGTTGAACAATGCGCTAAAATATCTTCAAAATATTAAATCTGAAATTGATCAACTACCATACAGTAAATATTGGTCTGAAATAACTCGATTTAGTTTAATGAGTTATGCATTATATGTACGAGCAAAATATCTTCAAAATGTGGCTAATGAAGCTTCACAATTGTTTGACCAAAGTGGATTTGATAAACTTAGTTTAGAAGCATTAGGTTGGTTATTAGTAGCATTATCTACCGAGAGAAATAATGATAACGATCGAATGATAGGGAAAATATACAAACATCTAAAAGGTAAAGTAAATGAAACAAGTGAAACAGCTCATTTTATAACATCCTATGGTGATGATGGTCAATCAGTTATGTTACATTCAAATCAACGAACAGATGCTATATTATTAGAAGCATTATTATATATTGATCCAAAATCAACTCTTTGTACGAAATTATGTAAAGGTTTACAAGCACATAAAGTCAAAGGTGCATGGAAGTCAACACAAGAAAATTGTTTTGTATTAATTGCATTAGATAAATATTTTCACATAAAAGAAAAAGATACACCAGATTTTGTTGCTAATATTTGGCTTGATAATGATTATTGTGGTGAACATCAATATAAAGGTAAGATCATATTAAAAAAACAATGATGAATCTATTATTGTATCTATATAGCAGTCTTTTAGCAGAATTGAGATCAAAATTGAATATAGTTTTCTAGATCATGACTTATCTATGTAGAACTTTTGATTCGCCTTCAAGTACTATCTATTTGTTTATCTATTTCTAAATATCTACATTCAATGTGATGGTTTCGAGATATCTCATGTATTCTGATTTCTTTTCTTAATATGAAGGTCGAACGACAAATACATATACTATAAATATTCCGATGAAAGCGATCTTGTCATCGTCATCATCATCCAACATAAGTAATAATGATAAGAATCTAATCATGCGCAAAGATGGTAATGGCCGACTATATTATCGTATTGCAATGAATTATGCTCCATCAAGTCTACAACTAAATGCAGTTAACTATGGTTTTAAAATTGAACGAACATACACAGCTATCGATGATCCATCACATGTTCAGAAACAATCAGATGGAACTTGGAAATTCAAATTAAAGGAAAAAATTCAAGTCATATTAACAATGACAACAACACAACGACGATATCATATAGTATTAGTTGATTATTTACCAGCTGGTTGTGAACCATTAAATACAAAATTAAAAGGTACATTGACAGGTGACACACAATCATCAGTTACAAGATCAAATCGAAACAATTATTGTGGATGCCGACCATATTCAACTCTTGGTTGGACTGAACATGAAAACTTAAGAGATGAACGTGCTGAAGCATTTCGATCATTATTATGGCCTGGTGTATATGAGTGGAGTTATGTAATGCGTGCAACATGTGCTGGAACATTTATCATTCCACCAGCTAAAGCTGAAGAAATGTATTCACCAGAAAACTTTGGTCGATGTGGAACAGAAAAGGTTATAATTAACTAAGAAATATATCTTACATTTAACAATTCGTAGTTAGTTTTTTTTTGCATGTAATTTAATGCCTTCATTATTAATTTCATTTTTAATCAATTTATCTTAAAGTATACATTTTATTATCTTACAATTGAATAAATTTAGTGTGAAAAAGGATTTCTAAAAGCAACATAAGTCATAATCATACCATCTATCAAGAGCAATTAATTTGCGTATCCTAGTGAATTTCAAACAGTGGACGGTTTTTCTTCACATTCTTGTTTTCGATGTTTTATTTTCGGCATTTTCACTTATCAACATTTATATTTTCGCTTTTTTACTTTCGGCGTTATTCAGGATAACTGATGAAAGCTGGCAGTATCATTCTTTATGCCGCACCCGATAGTCCATGTAGCGTGAGGATTTCATAAGAATCATTCGCGAACAGTTGAAAGGGATGTCAATGTTTAAATTAACAATATATTCTTTTTTACATTGGATATCCTATGATGAAAGCCTCGTTTACACTTTTTCAACTCTTTCTATTTTTGTGGCTCAATAGCTTTTAGTCTTAGTTAATAGGATTGACTGGAATCACTGTATTCGAGTTCTTTTTTCGTGATTAGTCCATGATTAAACATAGCACTGGCAAATTATTTAACCCCGTATGATTTATTATTCATGGATGTATGTAAAAAAGATGTGTCTAATTAATTACGTACGAAATTATCGATAGTGTTCTATTTTATATTGTTCGGGAGATACAATCAAAAGAGTTTTTTATATTTAAAAATTTCGACTGGTTTGGCAATAACTGCTTTGACGTTTTCGACAGCTTGTTTAAAGTGCTCCATTTGAAAGTGCAACTGCAAAGCCTCTTCATTTGTCCACTCTTCGATAAACGTTAAGTGTGTTTCGTCCGATAAGTCTTGGTGCAGCTCATACTTGATACAGCCAGGTTCAGTTCGAGTAGCTTCTGTCAATTTTCGAAGGATAGAAAGAGTATTTTCCATTTGATCAGCCCGAGAATAGACATTAGCGATGACAACCACGATTGTTGAAGCCATGTATAATTTTTATTGAGTTTGCCACACTCACGAAATTCGTAACACGTACTTTTTTCTTTGAATCTGAAACGAAAGACATTCGACAAGATTTTTCATGTACCCGCTAGTAGGAAGTTTTTTCAAGGGGATTGTTTATTCATCAATCGATTTTTATCAATAACAAAGGATTAGTTTTCAAAACTAGGACCTTTTATAAGTAAGGCTTCTGAAATATCAATTTAGGTAGGCAATGTAATATCAGGGCATGATGAATATGGCAAGTGTTTAGATCTCACAAAATTAAAGAGTCATTATATCATCAATCAATGGTAAATATTCCATATCAGAATGCATCATGGATAAATACCTATATGACTGTGAAGGATGAACGAGAAATTAGATTGAAAGAACTTCATACGTATAGCAGAAAAGACTTTTTGAAAGCCGAAATCTTGATGTCTATTAACAGGGAAGTAGTATTTATTATTTTTAGTTCTTTAAGACCTCTCTTCAAAAGTCGATTTCATAGTCAATTACATCCAAATGGACTGAAATTTTTTCAGGGCATGTTGCAACCGATGTAGAGAGGCTGTGGTAAAATTTTCAGTACTATACCATGATGTTTGACAGAGATATGAACCCAACAAGAGTCAAAAATAGTTCATTTGGCAATCCATTTTTCTCTGTCCAGGCTCTTTCAATGTATTACCATTTTTTTTTTGTTTCAAAGAACATGTCAGGATGCAGTCAAGTACAGAGCCCTTTTTTTTGAATTTTTACATTTTAAGCGAAGAAAAGGACTGGCAAGTTCAATGACTCAAAAAAAGCACCTTAAAAATGGTGGTCTATATACATTGAATGAATCTGAACAAAGAAAAATGGATTGCGCAGTCAAGAAAGCCTAAACTGAGAAAAAACGGAAAAAAATTTTGCTTCAAAACAGAGTACCGATTTCAAAATCATATAATTTCCAACAGATCTGAAAATGGGCTATCTTCTCATACATTTATGTCAATTTCGAAATTTTTAATGAAAATTGACATTTTTTGAAGGGGAAGACCTTAACGGAAAATTACTGTTTGTTTGCAATTTCTATCTTTAGTCTTTCTTAGATCTTACTTAAAGCCTCATCTCACCTACATCTTCAATCAAGCTCGTGTTTGTTCGAAGAATTTCAACTCTTTAAAATGATATCTATAGATCATCCTTAGCATTCGTCTGTTTGTAACGCAAAATGAAGACGATTTTTTTTTTCGAACACTATTGAAAAGAGAACAGGTATCATATCTCGATCCATCTACTTACTTTGTTGCTATAGAGGTTTCCAAAATTGAAATCGATGAGAAACTCTACGAGAGTACGCTAAAAGACGTAAAATGTACCTATTTCTCTGCTAATTTTTGTATGACTACTACCTTCTATGAATTTCTCTCGCAAGAAAACTGTCTTATAGACTTACAGTTTCTATTATCTGCCGTTTATTGCTTTTATAACCGGATGAATTTCCGATGTTTATGGAGAAAAATTGCAATTCTGATACGAACACGCTAGAAATTGATCTGAACTAAAAAACTAGCAAACGTGTTTTCTTTTTGTTTATACTCTTTGCATTCTCAACCTAAAATAGTTAACTTTAATTACAAAAAAGCTCAAGAATAAATTTTTGACGTGTTTTCTCAACAAATCAGAGTAGGTCAGTTTTGTGATTTGCTAAGAAGATGCTAATTCGATACTTATTGATTAGTTCTCTAAAATTCTGCTGTCTAACTGCGATCGTAATATTTCCGATCGCAACAAACCATCGATTTGGAGATATAATTAAAAGCAGAAGAGCAACACAAAGACTTATGGTGTATAGTTTCTCTTACGAAATTGGATATAAGCACGAGTAACAGAAAAACGTACTCTCAAAAAATGCAAAACAATGTGATGCGACATTACCTGATATGAATTGAGACTCGTCAAAAAAATGATATCGAAAGCCCAGGAAGAAAAAAATGCAGAAAGCAGATACTGGTCGAAATAACGACAAAACCAACACTTTAGTTGAGGTTATGTGAGGAATGAATAATTTCAGCAAGCGATCTTTTCGTCGGTGAAGATGATAATGCAATTATATTTAGCTTCTTGACACGTTTTGTATCTTCATTAGAGCCTAATTTTTCAAGCAAATAAAAAGTATAAATTAGCGAATGTCAGAAGAAGTTATAACAAATTCCATCTAGTTATATTTTCAATTCGACATTATCGAATAAATGAATATTTTAAATAAAAATATTTTATTTATTTTTGTTTTTCATAGTCGTTTCTTTCATCCTATCAGTAGCAGACACGCTTCTCGGTATCGACATCTATATATAAATTACGGACAATGGATAAATCGAAAAGATTCTAATTTATCTTATATTAGAAGAAGATAAGGAACAAGTAGAAGATATTCTTTTCCGAAGAAAAATATTTTTCCTTAACATGCATCACTGAAAAGAATATTTCTTTAGCAACGAAGATTATTAGGATAGACTAATGGTGACGTCTTCATCATGTGTTTCAGCCAACATTTTAATATTTGATCCCAGTTTGCTAATTTCTATGTAGTGACAATGAAATTTATTTAGTTCTTTTTTTCTGCAATATTGAATATTTCTTTCATGCAGAGTAACATTTCGTTTTTATTATAAACAAAAAAAAATAAACACAGAAACAATAATAAGAGTTCATAAAAACAAAGAGACAAAATCATCTTTAGAAATGGCTAAACATGTTCTTAGAGCACATATATCCTGGTGTTTGAAATCTTTTTTTTTAATACAAGTTTCTCTAAATTGTTTTCAGTCATAGGCTGAACCATTGGTTAGTTTTAAAGTGATTGACAATATTATGTTACCGTATTAACTGAAAATGTGGCGCAATAAATAGATTATACTGTAGTAGTAATGCAAAGTCTTGAAAAAACTATAAAGAAAACATGTACATTCGATTCTATAACTCGTTTAATGAGGATCATAAAATATTCAAAAGAAATCTGCTTGTTCCTGGAGTAAAATTATCTCTTTAACAGAATATCGAAGGCAAAATTTTAATTGAATATGAATTAAATAAAAGCTAATCACGTCAGGAAAAACTAAAAAAGCTCAAAAGATCTTATCTACTCCAAACTTTTGTTTTTCTGTTGTCATTCAATAGATATAATCTAACAGTTTGCACCACTAATAATAAAAGTCAACCAGTCTGTTTAAAAGTAACTTCTATTCTCGATATCATAGTCAGATTTTAAAATTGTATTCAAATTCCTCAAAAGCAGAATACAAAGCTATTTCAAGGTGATTCATCCATCACCTCATTCGCTTATAAAAATATCATTGATAGAATCAATCTGAAACTGATGTCTTTGCTAAATATGGGAAATTTAACCTTTATTGGCTACAATCGGTTCGGTTCGAAGTTTTTAAAAATTCAGTCTGTTTGGTTCCAAAAAACACGAACTGATCCCTTTGCTGATACACGATCAACTAACTGACTTATTGTTGATAGAAGTTGAAGTGCTGCTTTAATTTCGTCATTTTGTTTGAAATATGACTCAATTTATTTTTGAGAATCTCATAGTGAACAACAAGTTTTTGAATAAATAATCAAATAATTGAAATTGATTGAATGATAATTATTTTAGATGTATCCAATATAGTGATATTCGATTAGTATTTTCATCTATTTTTGTGAAACACGATCTAAAAGAATTATTGAAGCATATAAGGGTAGAAATTTGAACCCATTCTCCCGCCCTCTTTCCACAGACTGTTGACCGTCAGAGGTCAAAGAGTACAACTCATTATAGAGCGTCACAGACCGTCACCGACACAACATCAAAGGTTCTTTGACACAGACTGCGATCCACTTGGCATCAAAGATCGTTATAGACATGAAATTTTAGGCTCAAAAGATTTATGCATCATGTTTTACTAAGAATCCATAAAACAATGGTTCAAT